AACCCAGGAGGTGAAGGTTGCAATGAGCTGAGATCAGGCCACTGCACTCCAGCCTGGGCAACAAGAGTGAAACTCCATCTCAAAAAAAAAAAAAAAAATTATAACAATATTTCAGCATCACTACTCTTGGGCTTTGGGGTCAATATTAAGAAAAATAAGACTTACTGAACACAAGCACTGTGATACTGTGACAGTCGATTTGATAACCGAGATGACTGCTAAGTGACTAATAAATGGGTAGTGTATACAGCATGGATATACTGAACAAAGCAATGATTCACATCTGGAGTGGGACAGAGCAGGATGGCTGAGATTTCATCATACTACATGCTACTCAGAACGGCATACAATTTAACACTTATGAATTGTTTATTTCTGGAATTTTCCATTTAATCTTTTTGGACTGTACTTGAATGCTGGAAACTGAAACCCAGGAAAGTGAAATTGCATATAAGCGGGGGAATACTGTGCTGACGTAGACAACTACGCTTGACCTCAACTAAGACATTGGCTCAACAAAGAACAGCTTGCAACAGAGCTGAACCATTCCAGACTAACCTAATTCAGAACCAAAGCCTGTGGGAGGTTGAGGCAGGAGGATCACTTAAGCCCAGGAGTTCAAGACCAGCCTAGGCAATACAGAGAGACCCTATCTGTACAAAAAATAAAATTAGGCAGGCATGGTGGTGCATGCCTACAGTCCCGGATACTCCAAAGGCTAAGGTGGGAAGATGGCTTGAGCCTAGCAGGTCAAGGTTGTAGTATGCCTTGATTGTGCTACTGCACTCCAGCCTGGGTGACAGAGAAAGAGACTATCTCAGGGGGTGGGGGAAGCCTGATTTAGGATTTCTTAGAGCCCAGAATATACTAGGTTATTCTCATATTCATTCACTCATTGATTTATTCATCAAGTAGGTATTCACTGTAGGTCTACTCTCTTCCAAGCACTGTGGTAAGTGCTCAGGATGATCTGGACATGGGAGGATTTCCTAGAAGCTTGTGCCACCCTAGTGATCAAATGTAGGGCTCAGTTCCTCTTCCTATTGTAGTCAGCGCATCCAGACTAGTGTCATCAGATAAGCTTGCATAGATTTTCCCCATGACATCATATTCTGCCTCATTTTCATATGGCAACTTTTGTCATATAGTAGCATTTCTCATCATGGCCCCACCCCATAAACTTTTGACCTATACTGGCTTATGAACATTCACTATACAAATATTTATTAAATGACTTTAGATTGCCAGAAAGAGAATACTACCTTTAAATAACTCACAATCTTTAATTCTACCAAAGGAAATTGATAAAATTGTTTAAAAAGGTACTCCACTGTGATAAATTTTATAATAAAGATGTCTTCAAAGTTCTGTAGGAGGAGGAG